ACTGTCTTGAAAACTGTAACCAAGTAGAAGCCTTTCCCCTTTGTTATGCCATTCTCATTCATCGCAGGAACACAGCCCGTCCTGTGCAGTGAGTGAAACAAGGGATCTCTATGAAGGGAATTTTGATATCACACAAAGAGTCTGTATCTGATTCAAAATGAAGGGAATGAGTGTTTCTGTGTTTCTGGCCACTCCACAGTCTTAGTATACTTCTAATGCAACTTATCTTGATTTTAAATCTGAGGAACAGTTGCTGGAGATAATAGTATTTTTAAATTCAATATTCTTTTCTTAGAGGATCACTTTAAATCTACTGTCTCGCAGCATAATTCAAAGATATGTGGTAACAGCACTTGCTGCATATGAGGAGGCGCATTTTTTTTGGGATTCAGCTGACAGCAAAGGAAGGGTCAGCAGAGGAGCATACTGCAGTGGCTAAATCTTCATAGCCTGCCATTAACGTCTGTCTTCCTGTACTGTTTTACTTGACATTCCTCTGACATTTCTTGACATTTTCTTTTCACTTTTTTTCCCTCTTCCCTGTTTTCTCCCTTCCATCCAGTCACTTTTTTTCCCCACCTGGTTCACACAGAAAGCATGAAGGTTCATGGAGCTGCATATGGCTGTCTTAAGAGAACTGTTTCCACCTCTCAGGGGATGGTGCATGTACACCTCTTGCAGAAATGCAAATGTAGCATTTTGGGAATGTAATTTGATGCAAATTATATGTAACTACTCAAGGGCTTAAGTACTGGTATAATTCAGACGGTGGGTGTAGCCTGAGAAAAGACTGTCTAATCCGAACACCTCCAGGTACCCGAATTAAAGTTCCGCTTTAAAAGCAAGATGGCAATGCAGCACATTGCCACAACTCAATGGTCGTGATCTAATCTTTTCTACTGTAGAAAAAAAGAAACCAAAACCAACCAAACTTTCTTACTGGGAAGAACCATTTTCGCTAGAATATAAAGAGGAGAAAAAACCTAGGGGTTTGTTTTTTTTTCCTACACTGCAGTGTATCTGCCAAATAGAGAAAATTTAGCAAGATTAAAAAAAAAAAAAAGACAAGACTATCAATACAAAACATTAAGCAAGCCTTATGACCAGAGTTACCTTAAATGCAGAATCCCCAACAGAGGCAGTCTTACTACTGGAATCCTTCTATTGCTCAAGTGTAACCCTTGAGCTAGGAGAACAAACTTTGCAAAACAAATTAGACTGAGATTTGTCCCATATACAATTAATGTAATTCCAAGCTGATTCACTGTGGATCAGAAAATGTCCTGAGCACAGTGCTCCTTGGTATGCAAACAGCCTAGATCCTTTATAATTATTGTCCTGTCTTCTAAGTAACCATGTGGGAACAGACATAGTTACTTTAAAATCCACCATTCTGCCAAGTTACAATGGTCTGAAAAACTGGTAGGCAGAGCTCGAGGGAGCAACTGCATGGTCTGCTTGGTTCTTGATCACAGCCTTTGGCCAGCTGGTATGTTGTGCTTCCAGACTCTTAACAGTCAAAGGCAGCTTCTAACAAAACACATAAAGAACTGGAGTTTTCTTCCCAAGGCAAACTGTGCCACTGCTTTGATTGAGCCTTATGCCTGGCTCATCTTGTTCTTCTGGTCCAAAGGATGAGAGGTTTTACTGCTTGGAGAGCTTTGGGTGTGCCCTTCTCACCAACAATTCTGGTCCTCCAAAAGCAGAACAGTCCATCTCATAATCCATGCCATAAGCAGGTCATTTGCCGGCTGTTGCCAGCCACTGAGGAGAAACCCAAGCTTTTTCTTTGCATTTCTTTCTCCTTGCACCTGTAGCCCAAAGAGCTGGCTGTGTGAAAGTGGGATCCGTGTTTGTGCTGGGAGAAAGGACTATCGTTAGTTGTGGAGCCTGCCTAAAGCGCTCACCTGCCCCTTGTCTATCCACTCTCCATCATGCCTGCTCACTCTAGTGAGAGTATTTTATTTACTCTTGCTGCTTGCCTTGCAGGTAATTGCCAGGACATCTATGGGCCCTGCTCTTGAGTTTTGCTTCTAAGCAAAGCCTTGACTTGTAATTGACTCTAATGCAAACTCTCTTGCAGGTGTGTCCCAGAAATACTGCTTGATTTTGATAAGATTCAAATTTCTAGGTTCTCCTATCCTCATTAGCTGCCAAAATTTTGCTTTTTAACATGGGAGATGACATCCTTTCTTCCTCTGAAATGGTACAGGGCTTCACTGTGTGGGTTCCTGAAACCATAAAGGTGAGAAACTTTCTTGGCAAACTGACTTTTCCCTTTTTTTTTTTTTTTTTTTTTTTCATTTAAATGCCAGCACCCAAACAGCTTGGTCTCTTCTGTAACACCTTATTTAATCTAGTTTACAGTAAACTGGATCAACTCTTTGTATTTACATAGACAGTATATCTGCTAGAAGCTATGACAGGCTGTTTTTCCTAGAACATAGGTAGGCTATACAGTAATAATCAAAAAGTATGTTTTTCTTGTTGCTTACATATTGACTTTTTTTTTTTTGCAATGTTCAATGTTTTTTCACAGTAGAATTAGGAAAGCTGTGCAAATCTCTTATGTAAACTTGAAGAGAAAAATATATATGACTGGTTACTTGACCTGGGAAGGAAACAAACCCAAGAAAAAGTAATCAGACCACCTCCTTCGTGTTTGTTGGGAAACTCAAATATGTGTACAGCAAAAACCACACCATTGTCATTCATTGTGTCTATGTAAAAAAAAAAAAAGGCAGCTAAATGAAATCCCAACATTGCAAGTAGCTGCAAACATTTCTTCAGTGAAATGGTCTTAACTTCCATCACTGTGCCTAGAGCAGCAGCAGCAGGGGGGAAGGCACTAAACTGACATTAGAAATAGATGTTACTCTGGAACAAAATAAAATTTAACTTTTTGTCTGGCTTGAGAAAACCTGCAGAACAAGTGCTTTCAGAATTGACAGACAAAGGTTAAATCAATAAGCAATCACATTCATCACTTTTTGTATATTAAGGCAGACACAGTAAGACAGTTGTTGGGGTTTTATTTTTAAATAATTTGTTTATTTTAGTCAATAACAGCATAGACATTCAGGCTCTGGACAGATATCCATGGAATTTAGCTGTCCTTTTGCAACTGTAAAGCAATTTCAAGGGTGGAAATGTGGATTGTCTTGCACAAGTGACATACCATTACTTAACAACTGTAAATAGTCTACACTGCCTTGTTCTACATATGCTAAAGTGGGACAAGATTAATTAAGCAAGTAAACTTATTTTTAAATTACAAAGTAATTTGATTATGGCTGTTACACAACTTCATTCCAAACAAATCTGAACAATCCCCTACTAGGCTGAGGTGTGCACTCCAAAGTAAATGATGGGCTCTTCAAAATACAGACTACAACATCTGACTTTGTTTGTCTTTTATGAATCAAATGGCCCAGGAACTGCATTTCATACATGCATTTTTCACCAGTTTAAATTGTTATATTGGTATATTTATTTTGGTTTACATAGGTTCAATATTCATAGTTGAGAGTAAAAATGGACCCTGGTAGTCCAACCATGCTAACACACTTGGGCTCGCATACTTCAGTTAAATAAAGAAATTAGTTGTGCAACTGGACTGGCCCTTGTTTAACATCACTTTAGATAGTGGGATGTTGATTTCTGTGTGCTCTCAATTTATCAGTGTAACATCCCTCTGAATTGCTTCTTGCTGTGCTACTACAGGCATTGTCCTAAGGCCTAGAGTATCAGTGCTTCATTTTTTTTAACCAGAAGCTGTGTTTCTTTATCAGCTGCTGAAGTTATTTGGTAAATAGCATTCCTGTTGTCCCTGCTTCTTCCAATGTTGTTGCAAGGAGAGCCTCTAATAAGAGAGCTTGCAGTAAAATGGTAACCTGGCTATTGAAACAAGATTATGAAAGATTATCTTCTAACCATGAAACACTGAGCTGAAAGGAATCTCAAAGATCATCTGGGTCCAATCTTTTTGGCAAAAGCCCAATCTAGACAAGTCCCAGCACAATGTTCAGCTAACACTTAAGTGTTCAGTGTTGGGGAATCCACCACTTCCCTGAGATTATTATGGGCAATCACTTGATTCCTATTCTTAGTGTTAAATTTCTAATTATGGGAAAAAAAAAACCTTTTAATATCCTTTAGTGTTTGGAACAGGAAGCTGTAGTATCTGTATTCTCAACTTCTACAGTACGTAATTACTGTTCTGCATGTCCTGCCTCTCAAGAATGCCATTATGACTGGATGTCATGAACTTGCATGTTTTAATTGGAATGCGTTATGAAATACTGTCTCTACAGACACCAAAGAGAGAGCAAACACTTCCCTTACACTACTGGCAACTTTAAATACCTGGTGCAATGGGAATATGAATAGCACCTGTTTCCTGGGGGAGGGGGGTTAAGAAAAGATTACAAGGGAACCACAATAAATACCAGCCCCTAAGCTCACTCTCCACTGTCTTCTCTTTGTGGGTTACAAAACAGGGGCTGAAACTATAAGCTAGTCCCAGCAATGCAGCCAATGACACAGATGAAACTGCTGCCTCCTACTTTATCTGCTTCCTAGGATATTAGAGTGCTACTACTGTCTAAAGGACCTTTCTTTCTTAACTTGAAATCCAGCCAATGGTGTAATCTGACGTGGCTTCCTTTCCCCACTTTCAAAAAACCCAACCAACCAACCAACCAACCAACCAACCAACCAACCAACCAACCAACCAACCAACCAACCAACCAACCAACCAAAATCCCCCCAAAACAACCCAATTACTCTATTATGGTAATAGCTTTAACTACCAGTTTAAGAAATCAGAAAAAATCAGTTTTTCAGACACTGCCAAAATCAGTCTATTTGGAGGTAAAAGCAGTTTATGCCATGTGATATCTAATATGCATGAYACAATGAAGTATGAAATCAGTACATCTGTACTTTGGTAACAGAAAGTTGTTTTTCTTTATTGTGTAAGTATTTGATTTTTTTTGAGAAAACAGAAAAAGCTGTATTAAAAAACCACATTTGTGAACAGGCCAGAAAGAGCTTCAGCAAAAGAGCTATACATCAGTGCCAGCACATTCTTGGCTCAGATCTTGTTTTAGATTTCCCTAAGACCTTATTTCTATGACTAAACATGACACTTGCTAGGTTATTTTATAAAAGGGCATATCAGACATATCCTCATATTATACCAGAACAACAGCAATTAATCTTAAGGTCTCCTAGAAAGAATAACAGAATTGTATTGTCTCAGATGGTCTTCTTATAACCAATTATTTTTGATGCTTGGAAGGTGCCATTATAAATTGTGTGCTTTACAAGGATTTTAATCTAAATAAACGAAAAATCAAAACCCCCMAAAAATAACAAACCCACAACCAACAACAAACCAAGAATACTGCCAAGACTGAAGAGATCTAGAACTAACTGCTGAACTCATTTGGTAGAAATGGCTAAAATCACACCAGACAGTCATGAGGATACATTTCTTGTCAGCAGAACAGCTGGTTACAAAGTAAGAAAGTCTGCTGTGATAGGGTCCTTCATTGTTAGAAGCGCTTGCCATTTCTATSGAGCCATTAGATTTCTGAAGAAAGGAGTTAGCCTGAGCAATCTCTTTCCAGAAGCATTTTTTCGTGGAGGACTGCCAATTTGGACAAGCAGCTTCCAACACAGGAGAGGTACAGGGCTACCAAGGACTACAGGGATCTGGGCATTCACGCAGGTAAGTCTCTGAGTGACCATTATACACCTCCATCAGCGTTGTGCACACAGTCAGCTAAAAGGCAGGAGGGAGGAAGGAGAAAAAGAAAATAAGACACATTACAGGAAATAGTAACAAACTCTCTCTGATACAGCTGAACAGTTCTACTAAAATGAGCATTTACCTTCATTAGTCGACAACATGCCAAGTATGAATTGTCTGTGTCCTCGGTCAAGAATACCGACTCCACTTAACAYAGGAACTAACTTTAATCATTAAAAAACACTTCTCACTCCTTCCTTCATTTTTTTTCCCCTAAACACCAAAACTTCAAGTTCAGACTAAAACATCTTCTGTTGCCAAGATAATGTGCCTAYAGTATGCTTGAATCATGAGGTACATTAACTTATTTTATGCAAATTACAAAGGCAMAGATCATGGGTTAATTCTGGTTAGAAGGGTCCTCATGATGTCTGTAGAGTCGCTGCTGCCTCAAACCAGAGCCAACTTATAAGGAAAGGGTTCAGGCTACTCAGAGTTAACACTGTAGGGCCTGTGGGAAATAACTATTCCAGCAATTACATTTTGCTTTTACAACGTAATACAAAATTTGTTTTGCTTTTACATTCATGTTTTCACAAAAAAAAATACCACTGTGGCATCCTCATTAGATGCACATCAGCTAGTGGTTTGCCCCCCACTCTGAACTTCCTGCAAAAATAGAAAAATTACCTTATTGAGGACAGGCTTTGTGGAGAGAACATCATAAATTGCTGGTAGGGAGAGGTTCTGAAAGAAAGTAATACACTGATGTTAAGAGACATTAACCTGTTAATGTAAATACTGAGTACTAACTTTTTTACAGCTCAACTAAGTAAGATACAGCTTTAAGAGCATATGACACCCATACATCTTGATATCAGAAGAATGTGGGCTGCAGAAATTTGAGCAGACCAGATCTTAGTAGAGCATGGCACACTAAAGTGTGTTTGCTGCCTGAGAGTGTGTACCTGATTTTCACTGGTGTAAAACTGCCCTGGAAATATACAAGTCTTTATCAAAGTATCTCTAGGTGTATCCTGCATTTGCAGCTGCTGAAAATACTTTCAAAAAACCCACCCAGATGAAAAGAAAGCCCGAAACAAAGTAAAAAAAACCCAAATCAAACGAAAAAGAATCCTCAAAACTCAATCTTCCCTAAAACCACCATCACCACAACCCAAATCAAAAACCAAAAGAATCCCCCCAAAACCCCCAAACCAATCAACAAATGAACAAAAAAAAACCCACAACCCCCTCTATATAAAGAGCCAGCTGATAGCTTATAACCCAGAAGCAGAGACAAGTTACCACAAAATCATCAGCCACTTCTGTCTTTACAACTGTGCTTGAAAATAACCTGAATGCTCCCAGCTGTGTCAGGTGAGTGCTGTAACTCAGGAGCTTCAAACCAGCAGAATATGAGGTATTTGGAGATGTTTACCTCTTGTGTTGTCTGGTTCAGGCATTTCATTGCAGGTTCTCTGCGATTATCCAGTACCAGTGGAGGCTTCCAGCGATCGTAGTTTGTTTCTAACACGTACCATGTGCCCTTCTTGATATCAAGGCTGGAAAAGAGATCTACGTTTGTGTTTTGCTTCTCTAAGTATACAGTAWGTACATATATACAGTATATACTATATATGGACAGTTTGTTTGTTTAAGCTTGTTGTGGTATTTTTCAGTGATGGTAAAGAAGTGAGCTCTTGTACAGCAGAAGTCACAATAAACAGAGGACACAATTAYTGGCGAAACCCGTCCTCTCCTGAAGACTGAGTCAGGTGTGAGGTCAAGCATACTCACTCCCAGATATCCAGAGCAGCTGTCCTGGATCGAGTTATCACACACCCTTCTCCAGAATTTTTTCCACCCAGAATAAAGTAAGCTGGAGCCAGCAGTCTTGTTTTTGCCAGTTTGTCTTTTGCATCTTGGTAACTGTGGGTAAAGTAGTGTTGGACTATTAAATGCTATAAATGGTTCCAAGCACTGAAGAGCAAGTGTCACAGATGCAGGAAAAATTTGAGTAGTTAAGCCTTCCCTTTTCATGCACATATGAGAACACAGGATCACAATAAAGGAGCTCATTCAAKCAAAGCTTCTCTTCTCATTTTGTATTTGTTTAGAGATGCTCTTTACACTTTTTCTACACTTAAAACATGAATAAAATGATGACATACTGTGTCATATTCAACTGAATTGATTTAGTGCATTTAGGTTTGTTTTGGTTTACTTCCTATGATACRTATTAGTATTTGTTGGATGTGCTTTGATCAGAATGCTGTTATGCATTTAGATACCAACATCAGGAAAAAAAGAAATCTGAGAAAAAAAWTAGAGGGATCATGTGTGATGCCTTGCCTCTGCTCCCAAGTTCCAGCAAAACCAGAACTATTTAACCAGAACTATTAATACCAGGAAGCTGTTTATATAAGTGAATATTACAGTATTCATGCTCATTGAAAGCAAAGCAGATTAAAGGAGCATAATATTTAGAGGGAGAGGGAATACCTTGTAGCATTCTCTAATACTGTTCTTGTAAGAAAGCCCATCCACATACCATCTCTTCTACCAAGAAACCATTCGAAGATTCCTGCAAAATATTACTGGTTACAATAATCTGTTTTCAGATGGTTCACTTTTGCTATTCTAACTTTCACAGCTGGTTTTAAAATGAGCTGTTTTTTATCTTACTGATCTGAATTCTTTTCACCATTTGTGTGCCTGTTTATTAAGGCAACTGGTAYGCCCAAGTTCTGGGAACCTGTGCAGAAATAATGAAAGAAATGAAAATTACTCACCCACATAACCACCATCAAGACTGAAACGCTCATTCATTGTCAGAGTGAACAAGTTCTGAAAGGCATTAAACAAGCCAACCTTCAGCCATTGCCAGCCCACAAGTACCAGTAATAAACGAGAGGCAGCATTGCAATTTAGATGTCAACAAAGCTTCTTTTTTTGTTAAGACTTCCCCTTTGAGTAACAGACTGCAAGACTAAGCTCATTTTGGGAAGAACCTAATTCATCACAGCTTAAATAACTAGAAATGAGTTTTCTGACCTGGCAGAGCAATCAGCAAGGCAAGCTTTTATGCTAAGCAAGTCAAGCCTGTGGCCACTTTTYCCTCTTGGTCTGTGTTGCATCACTGAATTAGCAGTCTTCCTTTCCCTGCTCTATGTCACCTTCTTCTCAGACCTCTGAGTACTATTCTGTTTGAAAGCAGATTGTTTAAGTCCCAGTGCCAAGTGTCCCTGAGATGTTACTGCTATTCACCCAGTGCAGTCCATGCTAYTTGGAACACGGAATTCAAATTCAAATCTCATTCTCCAAATAATGTTTCAGACAAAAACTGCATTCAGCTACACTGAATMATTTTCAGAATTGAATCTTCCCAATTTATTTGAGCAGAAGACAAAACCAGATAGGTATAATGCAGGGATTTATGCCAGAAACAGTCTACAAGAAGAAAGACTACCTATAATAGAAGATAAAGAGCGAGCATGTAGAAAAGGAGAAGTTGTGGTAAGCTGGACACCCTGATATAGTTCTGTACTGCTGGTTTTTAAGATATATCTACACCCCAGATTTCAGGTGCCTATTCAACAAACCCTCCCCAAAAATATTAAATGTAGGAYTGCCTTTTCCAAGACTGGAGAAAGAATTAAATAGCACACATGTGCTATTTTGCCTCTGGGATCACAGCAATAGCTTATTAGCTAGGAAGAAACTAACCACTTCAGCAATTTGTATTCACTCCTGTTAACMYCGAAATTCAATTCTGTTTKTAAGAATTGWCCAAACAGACACATTTCATTCAGGCAATCTCCTTTCACAAGGAAGGGTAGAGCATGGTTTTCTTTTATCTGTCTTCAAGTAGCTATGATGTGCACCAGAACAATTAAGAGATAATTTATCAAAAAACATCCCAAGGCAGAGCATGAAAGCAGAAAATTATAATCTTAATGGAAAGTCTGAAGCACTCGTAACAAAGTGACAAGGCCCCCTCCCCACACTTACCGGTTTGACTCCAGACACCATGCCTATGTATCCTGCAAAATTTGTYGATTTGAACACTGTTTTGTTGTTTCTCTGAAAGTCCAAGAGTACCACTAAAGGCTTCAGTTCCCGAGTTAACGTCCAGGAATTATTCTTAACATCCCACCTGCAGGAGACAGTACAGCATTTGAAGCTTCCCTCTCTCAGTAGTTTTTAAGGCTTCCCTTCCCAGCATGATGCCTGTCCTCTGATCTTGCTCATGTCTTACATTCACTGCTCCGTAGTTACCTGAGCAGCACCAGCAAGGAACAACTATGAAGTCTACATTCACAGGCAGSCAGTGAAAAGAACTAAGTTTTGTTTGAACCATGAGTACAGATTTTGCTTAGGATTAAGCAGTATCACCATGACAGCTGGTTTGTTTTGAACACATAACTTTGCTCTGTACTTGCTGGCAAAGGCAGCTACAGGTACCGCTTGACACCAAACCTTGAATCCTTATTTTTCAAAGGCAGGAAAGAAACCACATACTACTGGATTTGCTCTTCTTGAAGGGGAGTACAATTCTAGTTGGTAAAATAAGCCAGACCAGTTTGTAGGCGTTTGTAGGCGTTAAGAGGGTGATAAAGAGTACTTAGCAGGCTCTTAAATTCTCTGGAAATAATCCAGATTCAGGGACCAGCTCTGAAAGTTTCCTTAATTTTCAGGAAGCATGTTCACAGTATTTCTGACAAGTAAGAGAAGTCTGACACAAGCCAAACCAAGGGATAGGTGGAGTTACAGCTGACAACATGTGAGTTTTTGACAGGAAGGTAAGAATTTTAATAAACATTTCAATTCCAATTGTGCATTGAGCATCATTTGGATGAGTGATGTTACAAAACATACTGGAGTAATAAAAGCAAATGYTGAACTACCTGATCATGGGCTATGAAAGGAGAACTAATGGGCAACAAACTACAGAGTTTGTATGGAAATGGAGAATGATGTGAAGTACCAGTAGAGTACAGGACAGTAACTGGGGGCAGAAGGGGATGAAAAGCAAATAACCTTAGAAACACMAATCCCCAATTCACTGCATCCATTAAAATTGATGTGTCATCTTATCATGTAAAGATCAAGATACACTGTGCCTCAGAGATCGGGTTACATGGGCCATTCTTTGGTTTGAGACAGTTTGAACTGGAGCTGAGGAAAAAAGTAACACAAAACACAGCTATTCTTGATGCACTTGGGGCAGTTTGACATTGGATCAGCAGAAAAATCCTTTCAATTTTAGCCTCTTTTCACAACAAACAGTGCAGAATTAGTTGTCACAGTTTTACCATCATCCAGTTAATCAGTTAGACTCAAAGAATGCATGTAGATATTTCAAGTTCAGATCATATTTTCTTTGTGTTTAAAGAAAAATAAATCAGATGTTTAAGTTCTTACCCTAGAAAGAGTCCAAAATCCAAGTTTCTGGCATGGTACAATTTCCCTATACAACAATAAATAAATAAATAAATAAACAAATAAAGAAAATTTTTAAAGAAATATTCAAATTTCAGCTTAGAAATCCAAGAAATGAATAAGCAGGCAAATACCTGGGAAACTGAGCAAGGAAGATAGCATTCTCCACTTGCCATTTTCATAACCACAACATAATGATAGGGGTTTTCTGGTCAGAGAAGTGTTTTGTCATAACTGAGTAATCTTGCAAACTGCTGTCCATCTCAGCCTCAAACCTTTCCACATTATCTTAATGCAACAGCAACACCTTGAGCTTCCTCTAAAAGTGTGACATTTGTAAGCACTCTGAGAATCCCTTAGAAACTTCCTAAATGGAGCAGGTGCAGTCAAAGGCTGTAGAACTAAGCAGGAGAATGAAAAACTCTTTTCTTAGAAGAGACTGTCCATTTCCTCTACCACCATACACATGCAATATATAGAAACAGAAATATCTAGAAACTAGATGCAAAATCCTGCATGGCACTGAGGAAGTTTCAGGAGTGTAGCTGGTGTTTCTTTCCCCTAGAAAAACAAACACCACCTATTAAAAAATAACCCACCATCCAACAAAACCAAACCCAAACCATCTTTGAAAGTGGTTTTGTGTTTTTTTAACCTAAAAAACTTGTGAACTCTTATTCCCTTTCTCAAGGAATACCTTTTTATTATCATTGCTTTTAGTCTCTTTACTGGAGTTTCTTGCGTGCAGTTGAGGACTGTATTTGTATAATTGAGGTGGACCCTCCTGTACATTAAAAGAACTTTTAACACTATTTTGAGTTGCATTACCTGTTTTATCCTCTGCCACTATTGATGTACATACAGTAAAAATTTCATAAAAGACGTTAAAAATAACAATTTCCCCTAGAAAAAAGAACAAAAACCAAAGGTCAATAGGTAGAAACTTTTGCCATGAACATATAAAAAATGGTTAGGAAAAAAAAGCATACTGCAAAGTTCAGTTTTCTGTAACATTTCTGTTAAAATTTTCAATTTATATCTCCTTTGATCTTTAAAATTACYGGTTCAGCAAAATTAACAGTTTTCTGAAAGGGAAATAGAAGAATCAGAACCCCTTGACCTTCTGCCTTATCATGCACAAAGCTGACAGTCATTGCTACTTCCTCCTCTGGAAACTTCAAAACAAGCTATAAAATTCACTTGAAAGAAGAAAGTTGCTATATGTACCACTATGGCCCCATAAGAACTGTGGCCTAGCAGCAGGTGTGCTGCTCCTGTATGAGGGAAGCAGTGCAAACAGGCAATGGTCCTTCTCCACACAAATTCTGGAAGAATTTGGTGCCTGCTCTTCACCTGGAATGGCATTCTTTGCAGGAGGTACAGAGGGAAGGCAGAAGGACATGGCAAGGATCACAAAGAAAAGAAAGCACAGCAGGAAACTAAGCCTTGCCTTCTTTATTTGTCAACAGCAGGCACACAGCTCTGTGCAAAACCAACAAAAATAAAGGATTCCCTCAAATTTTGGGGCACAGGAGCTGACASTTGCTCCAGTTCTCAAAATTTAGGAGTAAGTATTTACAACTCTACAGAGAAGCCCAGCCTGATAAAAGGCTTGTGTTTTATTCAATTCTCCTCTAAAACACTGTTTTTGTTTAGCCTGARATGAAATTTATTGCCTCAACTGCTTATTTAATGGCTTGTTAAAGTCACAGATGACTAAAACTAACTGCAGATTGGTAAATACACTAAATTTAAATGAGTCTGCATTCCTAGCTTTCCATTAGGTTAAGAAAAGTCTTGGAAACTGTTACCCAAAGGAATCCCAGATGAATTTGCAATCCCTTGGAGTTCTTCATTGAAAGGATAAGGCAGTGTGGCAGTCAGATGCGCCTGAAAGGAAAAGTTTTGTACAATATATGTTTAAATTAACACTTTTTTGTTATGTACAACAAATGTCAGCCCAACAGGTACTCTTTTCTCACAACTATTGAGTGTTTAATTTCTCTGCAGCCCATAGAACTTGAGGATGTTTGCAGAGTCCTTGGAAGACAAGTACATACTCAAGGAAAGTAAAAACTYTTACTTCTCAAAACACTGACGTGAGCAATGGATATCAGCAGAGTCTCTCTCAGCAGCAATAGACAGAACAGAATGAAGTAGGACTCATACATATCAAAAGCTCAGCTGTAATGGAGTTTGATGCCAGTGTTTATGGGCATGCCTAACTTTCACACATGGGTATGACAACCTTAAAAGCTGCCTTTGTGTTGACCTCACTCAGGCACAAAACAGGCTGCAATGAAAGATGGGAGAGAGATCTGGCCTTTTGCCATCCCTAACCCTACATTGCTTTCCCCTGTTCCATGCCAAAGCTTACTTAAAAATTAATTTGATTCTGATTAAAGGCGAGGCCTCGTCAAAGCTGTCCCTGTAATCAGACATTTATTACAGTTTTCAAAACCTGATTTTACTGTTTACAAGAAGTGGAACATGGCCAAGTGTTTTACTACAGTAACTAAGTAGTGTATTTGTCTAGTGTTACTAATTCAAATTTGAAAAGATCTTAGGAAAAATTAGAGAAGGAAGAGACACATGCATTTTTTGGTTGATGGTTTCAGAGCCATTCAGACAGGAAGGCAAAATCTCAGAATGACTCTTTAAAACAGCATTTTTGTTCTGTTCTGGAAGTGGAATTAAGAACTTGCAAATTAAGAACTTTGGCAATTCTTAATTGCCAGATTTAGAGGCATTCTAATTCTGTAGTCAGAGCACACACTAATAAAATAATTAAGCTGAAAATACTTACTATTTTGTGATCCACTATGTCAACAATTTTGCCACTGGGGAAGAAGGTATTTGCTATATCTTTGATATTCTGGACCACAGTCTTCAGCTAGAAAGAACRATGGCTTTTACTGAATAGAAGATCTTAAGCGTAAGAATTGCTAGAATACTAACAAAACTCCTTCACTGACTTTTCAAAAAAAAACACATTGTTGAGAAAAATACGTATTTAAATAAAGTTCTAAATGTCATATTCTTGGTGAGAAAAACACCCCTAACTCCCCACTAGAATCACTCTTCAAGCTTTATTAAAGTAACTTTGAGATTAGATCTGAGATGTCCCTCTATCAGAAATAACAAATTACAAGAAAATCATCCTCATCTTTTGCTCCTTGGATCACATTTTAATACTTTACACTCTTCAATCTTTCAAAATGTTAATTATAAGCACTTTGCTTAAGCCCTGATGTTACTGAACCCAAAAACACTTGAAAAATTTAAAGCACATGCTTTCCATTTGTGACATGTGAATGACTGCAAGTAGACTTCCACTCCTTGTGATCTAACTCCAAAGTACACAAGAGATAAAACTCCTCAGAATTTAAGGTGAAACCTGAAGCTTGCAATTGCCACTGGCTTAAATGAGACTTTTTAAAAAAATGTTAGCATGCAAGTAGAATTTGTCTGGCTTTCAGAGTGGAAAGGCTGAAGTCATCAGGAATATAGCAAAAAAGCCCTGGCATTGTTTAAGAAATTAAATATTACTGAACTGAATTTTCAGCAATCTTCACAACAGCTATTTTAAGTAATGTGAATAGGCTCAAATATTTAGAAGAATATTTGTGYTATGTAAACACCAGTGCTACAAACATGATTCCTGAAAAGGGCAGGAAGTTAATTTCCCCCCCTGCCATTTCATCATCTCATGCACTGTTTTGAGAGAAGTAGGGAGGCGCAGAGAAAGGATGCTGCCTCAGTTTCACTTCAGTTTACCAAAGCCGTTTCTTTGTTGTATTTCTCCCTCTTCATTCTGCACTACTTCATGACCAAGGAGAATGGACAAATGGAATGGCACACACTCGTCTATAGCACACTGGTTTTTTAGACCTCTACATCCCAAACACCAGTGCCTCTACACTTGATGCTGCTAGCTTAAGTGTTAAACAGAAAAAAAATACTCAAACAATTATTCTAGCCTAGAGCCATATTACAAAAGCCAACTAACTTTCAGATAGTTTTAGCACCTGTATTCATTTTAAAATTTTTCTTAAAATAAAAGGCTATGTGCTAGTTTTGTATCTGCTAAGCTTCAGAGCAAGCTCTGCATTYCGTACCTCTGTTTTTTTGTCACGAATCAAGTCATCCCACCTTTTGCTGGGAGGTAAAYCAAGATTTATGACGTATGTAGGTATATTCCCTTTGAACCTGAAAGATAAAACACCAGAGATCAAATTTAAAGAAGGATCTGAAAAAACATTTGACAAAATAGGTGCTTTCCACCCATAACCAGCATTTGGCAGATCTGCAACAGGCTAAAAGTTTCAAGAAAAAAAACTGTGTTTAGGTTTGCAAATCTCAAATTCTCTATAATTTGCTAGATAAATTGAATCAGATTACTTACGTTGGTCCTGAAGGAGGGTACATTTTACTCCTGCACTCTTCTCTATACTGTAAAAACAGTGAAACATGAAACATTACTGTTTAGCTTCTTTGTTAAAACACTTATTCTAGTAGACTTGGTTTTGTACTAAACCTTTAGGACTAATCAGTCAATTCAAAGTCTTGGGATTTTAGAAAGGGTGCAGAGGAATACARAAGAGGAGGGATCAGCAGCAACTTCCCCATGCTGCCTGACAGACCTTCAGACAACTTGTCTCATGTGTTCCAGGGCAAGCACAAGTGTATGATAAACATATAACCTTATTTTTACTCTGTGGTATAATGAACACTTCAAAAGCGTATCCTTTATACAAGCTGAGGAAGCTCAGATCTCAGCACGGACCAGTCTGCTCAGTTCATCCAATTCATAATCCCATTTTATAGTGCCACTCCTAATTATGTTTCGTGTTAAGCTGCACCGTGCAGCTGGGGCAGGGAAAGCATAAGGAACTTTGGGTAAATCCCTCAGCTGGCAGAATGAGCTATTACAGCACACCTCTGGATTCAGTGTGGAAGAGTGATGCTGAAGTGGTGCTAAACATTATGTGGGGTACAACTCAGGAGTGTAATAAAAAAATATACCTTCATTCCTCTGAGTGTGGCTAGTTACAAAGGAAAGTTGGAGAWTTACTTTAGGCCTACTCAAAGGGAATGCAAAGGTGCTATTCCACATCAATTACAAGAAACATGCATATAAATACATAATACACACCACAACTAGAATTATGTATTTTACTCAGTGAAATACAAGCAGATGCCTACTAGCCACCTGCACTTGTGCTTCAAACTAGTTGAGAGCAGGCCAGATTTGGTCCCTAAACTATGTGAGAAGTTCAATAAGCTCCTTAGAGCATATCTCACTAGGGAAAAGGAAAGGGATCTGTGCTGTTCTGGGAGACTGTAGAAAAGCTCCCCAAGCACAGGTGTTTGGGAGACAGAAACCAAAATATGGAGTGATCCTTCCACAACTTCCCCCCCATGCTTGATTTCCCATATTTATGAGGCTGTATTAATTAGATTACTAGTGTGTCCTTATAATGCATTCTGGTTCCACCAAACTGCGACATCTCCAGCACCTACGTAACTGGGACAAAGACGTTAACTAATGTCAGTGCTCTCTTTGGGCTAATCTCATTATCTACTTTTCATGCATTAATGCAGAAAAAATGTCTTATACAATGCCGCAGACTTTAAACAATAGCATGATTTGTTACAACTGGAAACAGCWGTTCTAAATTGGGATTGATTTCTGTGTGCTATAATGTTATCTCTATTGTTTYCAGTTGCTGGGAAAAAGGATGAGATGAATTTTGGTTTTCCAGCACATGAAATGAAGATACAGGACCAGCAGCTATGTGTTTCCTAGATTTCACTGCAGCGCAGTTACAGCCTTTGCACAGCTGGAACAAAAGGTCAAACACAAAAGGCCATTTAATTTTCAAAATGAGGAAGTGTCAAAACAAGGAGGATAGGAGGGATATCAGATGACTAATTAGGCAACAAAAGTCAGAGGGTTTTGTGCAAAGCCAGACAAATGCTTAACAGTATTGACACAACTGTCTTGTGAAATCTTGCATCCTGCAATATTAAAATCCATCAGAAAAAAAGTAACATTATATATACATCCTACTGCAATGGGTGCACAGATTTGGACCTTCAGGAAAARACCTCTCTCAAAGTATGTTTCCTGACACATAAAGCCTCTAACAAAAAAGTTAGCCAAAGTGCATGAGAATCCAGTTGCTCTGTCAGTATAGCCCATGCTCACAGAGGATACAGGTGCACCTGTGCAAAACTTACTGCAAAGGATTTTAAGCTAAAGGCGCTAAACGTTATGTCACTCCTGGCACTTTCCTGAGATTTTAATCCGCTATTTGCAGCTATTTTGATCTTCCCGGTGCTTTGCAACCTAAGCCACAGAAGAGGTAAGGAAAACAACCTTTAAAGGGAGTGAGAACAGAGAAAATGTTCCTTCCTTACTCATGGTATTTTTAGATTTCTCATCTGTCCATGTACAAAGCAAGGTAAAGAAGTCAGTAATTCCTAAAACAACCTGCACATCTCTCAAAACTGCTAGCATTGATTGAGATATCTGAAGCAATTAGAGATCATTAACTGTTTATTTAGGTTAACTATTATAGTGTGGAATCACAGAGTATCCTGAGTTGGAAGGGACCCGCAGGGATCAAGTCCTGGTCCTGCACAGGACAAGTCTGAGAGTCACACTGTGCCTGAGAGCATTGTCCAAATGCATCTTTTTCTGACAGGCAGTGCTCAACCACCCTCTGGGTGAAAAATCTTCCSCCAACATCCAATTTAAACCTCCCCTGACACAGCTTCAGGCCACTCCTTTGGGTTCTATTGTTGATCAGCAACAAGACACAGACACAGCTATCAGTGTCTGCCCTGCACTTCCCTTTCTGATGAGCTGCAGCCTGCAATGAGGTCTCCCCTCAGTCTGTTCAGTGAAAAACAAACCAAGTGATCTCAGCAGCTCCTTGTATGGCTTATCCCGGCACACAGGCAGCAACTKAAAAAGATGTCAAGACAATCAAAAAACCCGAAATGGGGTGTTTAGGTTTGTATTTTTTTCACAAAGTTTTCACAAACAACTAAAAAACCGTTGTATTTTGTAACCAGCTAAAGACTAACTGCAAAGCTTTCTGAGAAGGTAAAAAAAAGAGAAAACAACAGTAAAGAATTTTCTTTCAGCAGCAGAAAAACCATCAAGCACTTTTTACAAGCAGACTGAAATAAGTAGTTAGGAAGTTACTACTGTGGCCAGCATGGTCCTCCCCTCTGCACAGCCTTGACACTGGAAGAACAATACATGCTGTCCAAGAAAAGCAGGAACATCCTTCCAGCACGACAGAATCACCTCCAGTTTCCAATGAGCCAGAGGTGGTCCCCTAGAAAAGGCCATTGGAGGCTGGACCCAAACAGCAGGTTACCACTATAAATGTGCTTTTCAAAYACATATTGAACCCCCAAGAGGAATACAGCTATCCTTGAAAAGTGATTTAATGCTCCCCTTTTTTTTTGCTTTTCAAAATCTATCAGTAGGTTGCATATCTTGATTATCTTATATACTGCTGACTTTTAAATCTGGATGTATGTAATGACAGAAAAACAGACATGTGGCAGCACAGGATCAAAATACTAAAAGGAAGAAGACACAGTGAAGGAGAAATAGAACATGGTATGGGGAAAGATGGAAATAAAAAGTGGAAGTACCACAGATTTACATTTTGATTGACTGTATTAAAAAAAAAGTGGGACAGAAACCAAATAACTAGCAAACTGTTGGGATGAATTGGGCAAACTTGGAAAAAAATCGAATTGTAACAGTTATTATTGACTGCAGTAGAGAAAATAAATGCATGGTTTAGTGACTGCTGAGTAAATGTTTTGACACCTAGCCTGATTTCATGAATATGAAATAGACTGAATGTAGCTTGTCCAGTCTAAGGAATACCAGCGTTTTCTTTATTACCCTCAAAAATATTTTTGAGGTAGACCACCTCTGACTTTCCTCCTTAATACTCATATATTTTATATTTATCACCTTCCTATATAAAAATAAATAGAAAATAAATAGAAAATTACATAAAATACAATTCCATAGTTTAAGGACATTTCATTCAGTCTTTTCAGTCAATCTGTAACAGTCAACATCCTTTGGTGTAAGAACTCTGTGATCTAACACATTTTTCTCGCCACTCCTCTTCCCTGATGGGATGATGCCAATGCAACACTGTTGTGCTGCAGGAGTACTAATGCTTTCACAGAGGTTAAGAGCACTCTCACAGTACTGAAGAAATCATAACCAAGACAATTTAAATTGCTGTTTGGACAAGAAGGTCAGTTTGGTTGAACAGGCCTAAATGAAAGCTAAAGGGACTGACAGTCTGCACCACTGAGATGAAATTCAAGGCATTTATCTTCCATATTCTTTCTTAAGGAGATGAATCCAATCAGGTGCACTTAGGAAGACAACAATTCTTCAGCAAATGATGCATCCCTCCATCTCAAAGAAAAATAAAATATCCAAGGGTAATAGCAGGCAGCACAGCAGCACAACCTGCAGCCTGGACACAAGGCATACTGTGTAAGTGCAAAGATGTACTAAGTGCAATCAAATGCAAATCAAGCKCTAATGCTAATACTTTGCTGACAGCTGGCACTTTCTCCTATGACTCCACACTCCAGGATACCTTTAGTTAAAATTCTGAAGGTGTTTTAAGCTGGAGAGAGCTTACAGAATTGGGAAGCTATTCTTGGTGGGTAGGATGGGAGTGGAAGAAGAGCAGAGAGGGGAGAGAGCCCAATTCTGTGTAGAAAAGACACTAAGGAACATGGGCCATCCAGATGTCTCCAGACCTTTCCTGCAGCTCTCCCTTTTCACAAAACCCATACTAATTTTCCTGACATCAACATAATTGACTAGAAAAAGACTTCGAGTAAACACTAAAGAATAAACGAGGTAGTAYGTTCCCAAAATATTTAAATACAGATTGCAAAAAGTATTTTGATATACAGAAATATTTAAAAACTGTCCTATTCACAGAGGACGAGACGATTCAGGAACTGAAGACATGAAAGAGTGCTTCGCTGCTTCAGGAATAAAAAATAAAAATATACCAGGAAGTGAGAGCAGCCCGGGAGATGGAAGCCAGCCTGCTCCAAATGACTACCCCGCCCTCCTAGCTTCCCAATTCCACCATAAGTTAAATATTTCATTTCTTCAGTTAAAAATAAAAAAAAAAAAAACAAAAAAACCTCAAACAGCGAAAAGAGCAAGAAACAACACCCCAAGCCCACTTTCTCTACTCTCCTTCCGTGGAGTGCACTACAGCAAATACACTCAGCAGATTCAGAAGCGCGCACTTCCAGCAAGCCCCTCCGAACTTTCCTTCTGCAAGTCGCTGCTGTGGTGTAACAGGGCAGCGCCGACATTGCAGACGCACACGAAACCGAGCGCAGGAGTGAGCAAGGACTTGTGAAACACCGCCGCGGCAGAGCCCCTCCCGCTCGCCCCGGGAGCCATGTCCCAGCCAGGGAGACCTTGGGTGCAGCGAGGCGCTGCCGCTCATCCACACGCGTGGGCTCCCGGGCTCGCCCGGCCTCCCGCGCCGGGAAGGGCGGCGGCGGCCGCGTCCCCCCCGCCAGACCYGGGGCCATCGCTCCCGCCGGCCCTGCCCGTTCCCCGCCAGGCTCACCGGGTCCGTCGCCCAGGCGGGCTGCACCATCACGAGCAGCGCCAGCAGCGCCCGGCCCCAGCCCGCCATGCTCCTGCCCGGCTCCGCTCGGGGCTTCCCGGAGCGCCGCACACACGGCAGCGCCCCGCCCGCCGGGGGAGGGAGCGCCGCACCGCACCGCCTCTGCCCGCCCGCCTCGGGAGCTACCGTGCGGCACGGCCCTTCGCTCTACCCGCGCATCCACGGAAGGGAAGAGGCAAATAAAATCGCCTCTCTTTGGCAACGCTGASAGAAAACCCGTGATACCAGTTTTCACTTCAGCAGTACTGGGATTTTTAATTGCTCTGTGTCCTGGGGAGATTTTAGGCTGGCTGTGTGGTAATGAAGGATGCCAGGCAGGCGCGTTCTTGAGGAAGGATTTTTYTCCATCTTGGGGCTTAGGAGTGCGGGAAACGGGCAACGGGGGAGACAAGACTAATGAGAAACACAGGGCATGAGATGCATCCGTCTATAACCCTGCCTTCTACTTATTATTTAAAKAGTGTCTATTTAATAGAATCGTAGAAATGTTCGAGTTGGAAGGGACCTTAATGATCATCTAGTTCCAAGCCCTCTGCTATGGGTAGGGCCACCTTCCACCAGTCCAGGTTGTTRTACTACAAGTACAAACCAGCAGCCAAATGAGGTGTGATACGTATGTGTGTCAAGGTGCTTATGAGGCCTATTAAATAAAAAGTTTCTATAGCCTTTTTATACATTATCAATATAAGAATGTAATAACTTTTTAYATATTATTAAAATACAATGTAATCACTTTMAATATATTATCAGTGATAGCCTTTTATATATTGCTATAAGCTTTTTAATAGWRKATTAGCAACATATAGTATACCAGCTGCACGTAATCTAACCAGCTGGACTAGTACATAGACAGGTGAAATCACCAAGWGGCATAAATCAGAAAAGTTCTGAAGAAAGTRSACAGGTAGRTRCTATRACAAGGAAGAGTAGAGAGCACTAATGAGAACTTGGCAGAGGCACGGGACAATCAGCAAAATAATTGGAAATGAAGAGTCGGAGGACTAGAAAAAAACCCATGAATGTCACAACTGCGCATGCGCTGAAGACAAAGGTTAAAAGTCCACCATGATGAAGAGGATGGTATCTCATTAGAGAGAGACCCCCGCGACCACTGAATTGAGGTTGACACATGTGCACTTGTAAAACTATGGTATCATGTATTTCCATGCCCATGTATAGTGGTGGGTGTATGGTGGGTATATGGGGGGCAGTGACAATGTTTATGTTACACCATGCTTACTATATAAATATGTGCTAATTTAAAACAAAGGCAGGTGGATTAGGAGGAGAAATCCCCCTCACCTGCAGCACTACACCAGCGATGTAATAAACAAATACCTGCTCTACAGACACCAGTCTATGGGGTTTTGTTTCTAGGCCTTTTTCAGGCATCAGGTGMATACTGTCATTTTGGTATGAACATTATCATTTTAATGTGAACAAATGAATGTTTAATGACTGTGTATGTCAGCAACAGTTGGTGGAAACACCACAAAAAAGTACTCAAAACCTTCCAGGAGGCCTATGTTTTAGCTTGTCTCATGTGCTCTCTGCAGCGCCTAAGATAGGTCACGTGTTTTTAGGCACAAAGAAAACAAATGATGCACTCTTTAACATCGTGACTTAATTGCCTATGCAATGTACTCTCTTTACAAAACAAAGCGGGGGTGGCAAGAAGGGAAGTCCTTGGCAGAAGTTTGATTGGAAAGCTGCATGAACTGCAGAAATAGAGAAACAGAAAAGGATAAAAAATGTATTGTTATGTGGAAAAGCCTTGGATGGAGGGCATGTAACAGTGTAGGAAGGAGCCAGCTCAAAGCAGAATCTGGGAATTGCATGGAGCTTTAGAGATCAAAGTGGAAAACCATTAAGCACTGGTGCAAGAAGATACAGAACCAATCTGTGGATTTAGAAACTGAGGAAAATTACAGTGCAGCAAGATAAACCTCAGTGCAGCAGGAGATTTTCATGGGAGCGTTCTTTAAAAACAGGAAATCAGGCAGTTTCTATAGCGGCTGAAAAATACTTTCAGTTGAAAACAAATACATGTAAGACAATAATCCTGTGTTTACTTCCAGATACCTGAATAGATTATGTGCTACAGTAAGAAAGAGTCTGATTAAGTTGGTCCTGTTATTTTCTGAACATCTGCAACCTCTTTCGTGCATCTTTTGCATCTGCAGCAGACAGTTTCTAGGGACTTTGCTATCCTTGTCTAGATKCTTTACCATCTTCTGTACATTTTTAACAGAAAATAAAGTGACTTGGGAAAATAGAAAACTTGTTCTGAATGCACTGAAGACAAAATGATGCCATTTTCATATTACATAGCATATTTTTTTGAAGCCTCTGTGCTTCTGGTTTAGTATTTCCATTGGTAAACAAATTCTCAGTTTAAGAGTTATCTTCCAGAACCAGTCACCTTCTCTGACTGGCTATTCTGCTATGTTCCTATCAGAATGCCTTGCCTTCATGGTCCACACCAGTATCTTAGCCCTCCACTTCATTGTCTAGGTTTCTTCTGTCAGTTTTCAAAAAACTTCTAAATCAGAAGAAAGCTTCTTAAGATGTAGTTAACTCACAGACCGTACTGACAGTTTTTGTCACTGATACTTAGCACTTAGGTCCACACTTCTGCTTTCTCATACTCATCCATCCAGAACTGTACCACCACACTTTCTCCATACATAGGGGCTGCACATATTACTTCCCCCTTTCCTCTGTTTCAGTTCAGTTAAAGCTCYTTGTGCTAACACTAATGTTGATGCCTAAATCCAGTTTACCTAAAACAGAGGCTTGACAAAAGTTGTATTTATTGAAGGGCTTTCAAGTACATTCAGGGCAGTCACAACCCACCCAGGGGCTACACCCAAAATGGACACTCAGTCATAGGTTTTTCATGCTTTYTAAGTTTTGTCCATTTGCACATCAGGGGTTAATTCTCCAATTACAGTTTCAGGTAATGAAGTAATTTACTCCAAGTTTGTTCCCCCCRATTCACTGTTGTTTCYATATATTGGGGCCTGAGACAGTAAAGTGTCCTTGAGTTTTGGGCCAAGAGACGAATTGTTTTGTCTAAAAATGGGAGAACACTGTACACTAAAAAAATTACAAGAGTATAGACACACAAAAAATACAGAAGCTAAAATCCTAAGGCATTGATGCCAGGATGTATCTTCAAGATGACATCATGAATACCTCCATGGGGAAAATACACAAATGGACTCCTTATAGCAACAGTTAAATACACACACTGATCTTCACTGTTTTGTTAGACCTTTGATTYCATTTTCTTGGGACCAAAGTTCCAGTGAATTCCGCAGACCCTAGTTCCTGTGCTATCTCACTGTAAGAGACCGTACAGAAGTCCCTTGACTTATTCTGGCCCACAGCCTGCTCCTTGCAGTGGTGTCTCTTTCTCAGTGTTTYTGGAGATGTTTTGGCAGCAGACCACTTCCAGGTCTGTGATGTTGCAATGGTTGAATATAATTTACTTGTATTTCTGGGGTGGGGCATGTAGCGTGGTACCTACGACAAAAACTAGTTAGTGAGCCCTAATCCCCAATCCTAGACCAAACTAAGGAGCTCTGGAGAAAAATTAAAACTTTTTTCTTCCTCTCTTCAATAGCACATCTTACAGCTATGCTGTATTTTTATCCAAGAATTCCTCAGACTCTGGCCAGGAAAATTTGCAAACAATCATCTGTTTATTTCTAGATTTTGTCCTAAAGGCAACTAAAAGTCAGGGAACTCTCTCTCTGGCCTAAATCAGTGTACAGTCTCCCAGGGCCTAAGTTATATGGCAAATAGCTTGCCATTGTGAATTGATATACCTTTAATTTTTCTTGGAGTAATTCCCTTAACACAAGCCAAATATTCACAAGTGATACAGTTAATAAGATTTTACAACTGAGTTAGTAATAGATGAGAGAATTTTAATACAATTCAGAAGATACTTAAAAAAATGCCTTAAATAAAAAACAATTATAAAATATTTTACTCATTTTCAATTTAACCCTGCCATCAAAGATGCAGAAGAAAACGGACCAGCTGGATGTCACTTGCAGTATCTATCTGCTTTCACTTTAGCTCTCCTGTATGGAAAGAGTGAATGAAACAAGATTTAGATTAAGGCCAAATACAATTACACTTGGGTGTTTTATCTGCCTCAAAGTGTCTTACATACATTGAAAACAGTTTTTTTTAAGACTTTACTTCAAAGCACATCTAAAGGCCTAACAAAACTTTGGATTTGTTAATTAACTTTGTTTTGCTAAGGAGATAAAACTGCTATGTCTAAAGTTAACCTTGTCTGTCCCTTCAAATCATGATTGCATTGTGTCTCCTCTGAGGAATAGAATTCAGATTCAGTGTGATCTGAAGCYGACCACCTGTGAGAGCCCAGGAGTGCTCTCACATCACTCACAGTTATCAAAAACAGTCTTCTGCATTCACCCACTGAATTAATGTAAATATTTATACTATATACTTACATAAAAGGCTTTAAAAATTCAAGACTATTTCTTTAGTCTCAGCTCAGAGGAAAAAAAATAGCCCACTAGAAAACATGAAGACTGTCCTTAACACTATTATTCTTTAAAATGCGATTTTTGCCTCTCCAAAACATTCTGGTGCCATAGGTAGTGAAAAATGTTAAAAAATAGCTTAATCTTTATGACAACAAAAAATTAAACTCCGAACAAGTCTGCACTAAACAAACTGAACAACCTAGTTAAAGATTTCCAAAAGAATTAATTTACAGGTAAATTCAAACCTGCAAACATCAGCTAAGTAAGTGAAAATCCAGATTGTTAGAAAAAAAAAAATGGCAGCAGCCCCCAGGATTCAGGCATAACACTCACCAGCAGAAAAATGCTCAGTAACCTATCCCCCTGAAATCTAGCCCTCTTCTGTACCCAGRTTTACTGTAATTCCATCTCCCAGTAGTTTTTTAATCAATACATTACTTCTTGTACTTTGAAGTACCTGTCAAGTAGCATTTCATGAAAAGTGCCTTCTTTCCTTGCTTTTCTAAGGGCTTTTGTATCTTCTTTGCTTATTTTAAGCTTTTTGTCTTGAAAA